GTGCGTGTGTGTGTGTGTGTCAGGTGTTTTGCTTCCTTCCTGTCAGGCTCTGGCCTGAGCGGCGTGTGAACAGTAAACAGGTCTGTGGTCACGTCTGTTTTGAGTTACAGCCAATCAGAAACATGCAGTTCATTACACTCAGGTCACGATGACATAAGTCAATATTTCTGTTGCAGCTGTCAGTCTGACCTCTGCAGTTGTGCTAACCCAGGATTTTAAGCTCTAATCATGTTCATCTTTTCTAATTAAAGAGACTAAAACATAAATGTTCTGTTTGGAAAAATGTTTTTTAAGCCGCTTTGTTTTGAAATAAATAAAATATTTGTAAACATTTAATAAAAAATGGATATATCTGCTCTGACATCACCCGCTGCCGGGTGAGGTTCCCTGTGACGTGAGCGTTTGGGTTTTGGCCCCCAGAGGCCGCTCAGCGTCACAGACAGCTGATCGGTGTCATGTGATGCAGTTTGTACGTTTGCCTGTCACATGACGCTCTTCTGCACCAGGGTCCACGTGGCCGGGCTGAATAAAGGCGGGATGGACACGTTCGTGGACAACCTGCCGGGTTTCCCTGACAACATCCGCCCGAGCTCCACCGGAGGTTACTGGGTGGCCATGTCGGCGGTGAGACCGAACCCTGGCTTCTCAATGCTGGACTTCCTGTCCCAGAGACCCTGGATCAAAAAGTTCATATTCAAGGTAAAAACAGACTTTTATACACATTTAAAATTAGACCTGATTAAAATGTCTGGAATCTGACAGTGATGGCGGGGACGTGATGGCGGTCACATGGTGGCGGGGAGGTGATGGCGGTCACATGGTGGCGGGGAGGTGATGGCGGTCACATGGTGGCGGGGAGGTGATGGCAGTCACATGGTGGCGGGGAGGTGATGGCGGTCACATGGTGGCGGGGAGGTGATGGCGGTCACATGGTGGCGGGGAGGTGATGGCGGTCACATGGTGGCGGGGAGGTGATGGCCTCTGGCATGTTGTGGATGCTGAGAGCGGATTCTATTAACGTCAGAGCAAAGGCGCCGTTTGTGCAGGAGCACGGCTTACATCCGTTGGCGCCTGAGCGGGGTAGGGTCATTTCTGTGATGTCACCTGATGTAGGCACGGGTGTAGCATGTGTTAATGTCGCTGACCGTCAGTTTTTATCTGATGAAAGCAGGCGATATATATTAAAAATGGCGAACGAGAACAAAACTGAAGATGAAGTTTTCATCAACGAATAAAAGCGAGATGAAAATATCTGCAGAGACGAGAGCCAATCACAAATGACTGAGCTGTGTAGCAAGGTGGCACGAGTTTGGAAGCGATCCAATCAGAAGCAGCCTCTGCTACAGCTAATGAGACGCTTCGTAAACCGCGTGGAGCAGCCGTCACCGGGGGTCTGCTGTCATCTTCTGTTTAGTTTAGGAGGAAACTTCATTCAGAGTGTTCGACCTTTGACCTTTGGTTTAATTATCCTCAGCACACACTCGAGTGAGCGCCACGAGTCAGCTGGGTTTGACCCCCGTCCGATTTAATGATCATTACTAACGACGTTGCTAAAGTTAAAACTCCGTCACGTGTACGACTCCCACTGGTTTGTGGGGTAAACAGCAGTGAACTCTGGAGTGATGATGCGTTTCAGAGCGCCTCTCCTTCGTCCCGGTGTCTGGGAACATGAATGAGTCATAACCCAGAGTTTTGTAATCTGATTGGCTGCTCTGTCTGCAGACTTTGACCTGGAGCGAGCGCTGTTGCATCAGACACTGGAAAACATGAGCAGCGGTCACGCCGGGTTCATCACCGTCACAGAGCACGCCTGATTTCCCTTTAACTCCTTCCTGTCTGTCTCCTTCTCTCTCACCTTTCCTCCTGCAGCTCTTCAGCCAGGATATCCTGATGAAGTTTGTTCCCCGGTACAGTTTGGTTGCAGAGCTCCACGACGGTGGCGTGTGCACGCGGAGCTTCCACGACCCCAACGGCCTGGTTGCAGCCTACATCAGCGAGGTCCACGAGCATGATGGGAATCTGTACCTGGGCTCCTTCCGCTCGCCGTACATCGCCAAACTCGACCTCAGCAAGGTGTAGAAGATTCAAAAAGACGACACGCAGACAGACATTTTTGTGACTTTGAGATGTTAACACGGCGTTAACCCATCTCTGCCGGCTCGTTCCGCAAATTCAAGTTCCAGCCTTGGAAATATCCCGAGAATGACTTCACCCAGCGCCACCTACAGGCTGTCCCAGGAATTGGGCGGCATTCCCATTTGTGGCTAATCTCTGTTGATTTTTCCTTTTAAGATTCATGCAGCTTTAGATTTATCACCGTTTTTGATCATTTCTTCCCTTTTCGACGGTATTTTGTTTGACTGCTATGTTTAGACTTTTTATTCAGAACAAAAGTGTCCAGAGAAACGAGGTTTGTGTTTTTGTGTTTGTGCTTTTGTCGTTTCTTCACTGAAAACCACTGCGACTACAGCGTTCACCTGCGAGCTAACTAAAGCATACGTTACCTAATGGATTTAAGCTAGCAAGTTCGCTCGTGGCCTAGTTTTTTTTTTAAAATTGTACTCTTAGGGGCGGAGTTTGTTCCCTTCAGTCATAGTGCAGGCTTACAGATGCTTTGATTAGCAGTTAGCCTGAGCTAACCTAGCTGCCTCTGACTAACTTTCTTTACACAGAAGAAGAGCGGTTACTCACGGTGATGATCAACCTCCTGCTAACGCTGATGTCAGATTACAGGCTGCTTGAGTAACTGCTTCGCCCTCTCGGGACGATTTAATGTGTTTTGATTGGCTATTGTCTGCACTACTGCGCTTGCACTTTTTTTTTTATTTTATTTTTTTTTTTATAAATCTCACACACGTTGGGATGTGATTGTGGGTGTGTCTTTAGTGACAACCAACCAGTCACGAGAGAGGCTAACACACCCTACCTGTAACTGTGCTTACGTACTTCAGGCTACAGTGATTGATGTCACATTACAGACTGTTTAACCAATCATCTTGCCCCTCCCAGGATTTCTTTGTAATTTCTTTGTGATTCGATTGGCCAACAGCACTGAAATATTTATACAATAGCAGTTTGATGGGCTAGCGTCTGAATGGGTTAGCTTGGGTGCTTTGGCAGGATTCAGGCGTTGCTTTAGGGTTAGATTGATAGATGGATAGGGGAGATCTTTTGTGACAATACTAATGTAGGGATTACCTGGCAACTGCTGGTCGCTAAGGAAAAATGTGTTCTCCCAGCAGGTTGCTGGTAGTCACAAGTGTGAAGTTGGTCGCTCCAGTTTCCCATAGTGGAAGATGCTGACTTGGCTGCAGATGTTAGCTAGCTAACCAGCGAACACTGATGAAATTAAAAAGCGCAGCACAAACTGGAAACAGTGATGGCTCCTCTTCAAAATAAAAGCTGTCTCTATCCACAGAAACTAACAAAATAAGCACCTTTTACTTTGAAGGCACCGTTGCTTAGCGACATGTTTGAAAGTCTCCACAGAGGACTCCTCTGTTAGCGTCTAAATCGATCACAAAGACGTTTTGAGCGGCTTCCTCTGTGAGTCCCGATTTCACGCCGGTGACTGTCGGTGACCTCCTGCTGCCACTCGCCCATCAGCTGGGAGCGCACACGTTTTTCTAGCGACCAAGCTTCAGACCTGTGGCACCGAAGCTACGTCCACACTGGAAGCAACATGGCGACTTCAAGCCTTTCTTTTCACAACTTCCAGACAGGTGACTGAAATGTCGTCCAATGAGAGCGCAGGATACCACTGATGAACACGGGTATGGCCTGTTTGTAGAGTTACCTGGGTAACCAGAACCGGGTGCGATCAGCTGTCACGAAACGTGGCGAGCAAATTGCTTCTGTTGTGGACGCAGCTGGATGTCCTCGCTGATCACCTCCCTCACACTGATGTCTGTTGGACGTCGCGAAGCGTGGACTCACATTCTTTGTGTCATCTGAGCGAGTCTGAGCTGTTATGAGGAGCTGTCCTCCTGCTCCTCTGGTCGTCCTCCTCCTCCTCATCTCCTCCTCCTCCTCATCTCCTCCTCCTCCTCCTCCTCCTCATGCCCTCCTCCTCCTCTGGTCCTCCTCCTCTGGTCCTCCTTGTCCTCCTCTTGTCCTCCTTGTCCTCCTCCTCTTGTCGTCCTCGTCCTCCTCCTCTTGTCCTCCTCCTCATGCCCTCCTGCTCATGCCCCCCTCCTCCTCTTGTCCTCCTCTTGTCCTCCTTCTCCTCCTCCTCCTCTTGTCCTCCTCCTCTTGTCCTCCTCCTCCTCATGACCTCCTGCTCATGCCCTCCTCCTCCTCTTGTCCTCCTCCTC